ACGGAGCACCTTGCTCCTCCATAAAAATTTCACAAGTTCAAAAAAGGTGGTCTTGTCAGCAATCCAAATAGCAGATCAAGCAATACACATGGATATAGTCTAGGTATTGCAAAGCTCCTTGCTCATCCAGAAATTCAAAAATCAAAGTGACACTGGTGACAGTGGGTGGTCTTGTCAACAAACCATTGGTGATAGGTGTTTCACTCGTGCTCCCCCTCCAGAACCCCACTCACCGCAATATATTGACCACCTGTGGCAAGGTACTGTAGGTCAGAAGGGGCTTTTGGGTGCTTAAACCTGCCCCAGAGGTGATGTGATCTCCTTATGCTTTTTGGCAATCACTGCCTTTGAACCCAGGATCCTCTTGTGGAAAAACAATTTAAAACGACCTTGGAACTCCTTCTCCACAATAAAATGATCAGAGGGAGACTTCCATAGCGTTATACAGCTTTTTATTGTGTAAAAATCATTAAAATCACACATACATACGTTCCATATATATGGTGCTCTAAAATCCAACAGGTCATCAAACACTTGTGTAGACCAGGTAAGATGCTGTAAACCTAGCCCTATGCGTTTCATCATATGATGTCATTAGGAGCTCCTGATGACGTCATATGACGAAATACGTAGAGAGGGGCTTGCAGCATCTTACCTGGTCTGTCTGCTCCTGATGACGTCAGATGAGGAAACGCGTAAGGCAGAGCTTACAGCGTCTTACCTGGTCTGTCTTCTCCTGATGACATCATATGACGAAACGCGTAGGGAAGGGCTTACAGCATATTACCTGCTCTGTCTGCTCCTGATGACGTCAATCACCAAAACGCATAGGGTGGGGCTTACAGCATCTTACCTGGTCTACACAAGCTTTGTCATTCCAAAACCATGACTGGCTTCTTATCCTTCGTCAATTCAGTCAGTGGTGCAGCAATAGTGGCAAAGTTGGGGACAAACCACCAGTAGTACCCAACTATACCCAGGAATGCTCAGACCTGTTTCTTTGTGACAGGGCAGGGCCAAACCTGTATAGCCTCTACCTTCTTCATTTGAGACTTCCCCAAGGCCCTACCCGCAATGCACTCAAGGTAGTTGGTCTCTTTCATTCCAATGGCATATTTCTCAGGCTTGACCAAAACCCCTCTTTCTTTAAAGAGTCCTTCACAGTCCAAACCCAGAAAAGCGAGGCTCAAAAGTCCGTAATAAAGATATTGATGAGACTAAAGTGTATCTCCGATGAGGATACAGTGTCTTATCCATCCCCCTTTGAAAAGTATCCAGGGCAGAGTGCAACCCAAATTGCATTCTTTTATATTGGAAGTGGCTTTCCAGTGTGAAAACGGCAGTCTTTTCTCTGGCTTCCTTGGTTAAAGGCTACGTTCACCTTTTTGGGCAGAATTTCACTTTTCATAATAAATAGAAGCCGGTTCTAATGTAATTTCTGCCCAAGCCATCCCAATGTGCTTATCTCTCACCTCATCTATTGCATCTTTGGATTTTCATCTGTCTATTTGAATTTTTAAAAATTGCTTTCCTGATTCCATCATTCCATCATTTCCTGTAGATCCTGTGACATCTAGGGACCTTCATATCCCATCATGCACTGCCTTTGTTGCATGTTCACCTCTCTGGACCACACACCCTCATTATTGTACCACCTCTTATTTTATTTCCACCCGCTTCCTGTACACTCTTACTGTACAATCCCCTTTAGATCTAACATCAACTATGTAGTGCAAGGGACTGCCTGATTTGATACAAATTGAATAGATTGTTCAGGTGGGTCTTCCTATTTCATAGTTTTTGTAAATCTAAAGGAAGTTGTACAGAGAATGTTTAATCAGATTGCATAGTGTATGGTCATCTTTATACAAGTACATAGGAGGGAGTGGAAGGAGCTATTTAGCTGTCATGCCCTGGGAGTAAACAGAGACGCTGAGCTGTCAGTCCCCCGATCTCTGAATAGTGGGAACTCATGTTCCCGCATGGCTCTTTTTGGGCATTTTGAACTATTTCTGTTCATTACACATAGGGCAGCCCATTCACTTGTCATTCACACAATGTCATAAAGAAGCTCCAGAACTTTTTTGGAGCGTAGTGCATTTTTTAAATGCACTTCTTGGTGCATTTGCAAAGCAAACAAGCACCTGCTACCCGTACTAGGGGTGCCATTAACATTTAATAGCGATGCAAGTGTGATTTTTGTTTGCAGCTTGTTTCCAGAACACACAGCAAAGCATGCAATTTGCCAAATGTTTGGAAATACACAGATGTGAATGGAGCCTCATTGCTCTTGTGTAAATACACCATTTTCACTTTCAGGCCCCAATAACACCCAGCGTAGTGGGAGTGCATTTTTTGGCTTGTTTTCCCCACAGCACGCATTGTGCAGCCCATTGATTTCAATGAGCTACCCTGCATCTGGCAAAGTAGGTCATGGGACATTTTGGTGTGTTGTGGTTTGCACGTTTTTTACGACACATTTTGCTGTGTTTGTCACTCATTTTTTCACACGGCAAAATGTGTGTTTGCTTCTGCATTTAGAGTACCATTAACAATTAATGGCACCAAATCTCTGTACAGTCTCCTTTAGATTTAAGAAAACTATATAATAGTAGGACACACCTATTTGTCCAATTACTCTGTATCCAATCAGGTAGGCCTTTGCACAATATACTTGATGGTAGATCTAAAGGAGATTGTACAATAAGATTGTATATTATGTGGTGAGTTTTATAGACTTCCAGGGACAGACTTCTCCTGTTTTCAATACTACAGCTTTTCTCCACATAGTCGATCGCTCAGCTCCAGCGCACTCTGCCAAATGAACAGTTGATGCAAGATAAAGGTAAGGTACAAACAATTGATGGCATTGTATTCAGTGAGAATGGTGTTCATTGACATTGATTATATGTGAGCACAGAGATGGGTGGGAACAATCTCCTGGAGGGGGAGGGTAGGTGCAGGGTGTTTATTAATGAGGTCAGCTGATAAACTAATTCCTTCCTTTTTTCATCCTATTTACCAAATTCCAGGATGGAGCAGGATGTAATTGAGGAATTGTCTAAAGGAGTCTGGAGACTGAGGTAGGGCCTGTCCTAAAAGTTGGAGAAAGCATTTTCTTTTTTTCAGCATAGGTGTGTTAATGGTATATTGGTACAAAAGGAAGCTGGAATTTTGGAAAAAAACGTGAACTTTAAAGGTATTTTCCACTGCCGCTTGGTGTGATCTAAGGTGGTAAAATACCGAACTGGCCTCAACCTCTCTATCAGCTCTTCTACTCTTGCCACTGTGGTTGATATGAGACCTTTACATTATAAATGATCCGCCATCATCTGATAGATAATAGCAATTGTAGTACATGGCGGTGGGAATCTGGAATGGAGTTGGGCTTTCTCACCATATCATGTGTAAAATAGAATGTACACCTAGAGGGATCCTTGACACAATACATATATTTAGCATGTACTTTCCATAATGTCTCTAACGTATGTTGTGGTTGCCTACTTCTAGCAGTTTGGCAGCAGTGGATTAACTGAAATGTGGGCCCCAGGGATTCCTCCCAGTTCAAAGTTAAATCATATATAAGGCTAGGTTCACATCTGAGTGGGTGCAGGAAGGCGTGCTTGGGAGATGCTTGAGGGTACAATTAATCCTAATGCCACCATGCACTGGAAACAACAGCACGGTTTTCCTTACTGGGAACCACACTACACTATGTAGTTTCTCTGCAGCTGGGTTTTTGGAAAAGATGCAGGGAACTTTTCCTCGCCATTTCAGGAGATACTGTGCCTGAGCAAAAGCAGCTACCAAAAACTGCATAGATGTGAACCAGGGGTAAGGGTCTCATGGGCCCTTCATGGAAATGAGAAAAATGTCTGCAGAATTTAAAAGTCAGAATTTTACTTTGAATTATTTCTTGCACAGTGGTATTCTCTTTGTAAGTGACTAATATGGTAATATACTACTGAAATAATGCTTCCTGGTACAGGAGGTATGCATTCATACTGTGTATAATCTTTTAATACCCTACAGAAAATCTTTGTTGAGAAAAATGCAAAGGTCGCCTTCAAAGAAAAAAGAAAAGAAAAAGACAAGCCTAAAGACTTGCAGGGCTGAAATTGCCTCACTTATGAAAGTGCATAACATTTCAAGCATATCCATAAGCTTCCTTGGGGTGTGGGGCTCCAGGCAGCTAGCTATCATTTCTCTTATAATCCACCACTGTACCTCAATGATTGCAACAGCACATTACATAAAAAAAAAATCATCATTTGTGACTGTAACATAGATGACATTGGGTTGACTTGCTAAAAGGAATGGAGTATTTTTACTTAGCTGAAGCTGGCCATATATTATACAATTTTCTTGTTCAATTTCCTTTAGATTTACTTTCAACTATGTATTGCAAGGGCCTGCCTGTCTGCATAAAAATTGAAAGTGTTTTGAGCTCATATTATATATTAAACGTAAAGGGAAATAGTACAAAAAAAGGATTAAAAAAGGATGAAAAAAAAATTACCTGTTTGCAAAATTTTCTAACAGAAACTAAAAAAAAAAAATTTTTTGTTTCAAAATATTGTTTAGCAAAAAATTAAAAAAAAAAAAAACTGTGGTGATTACCCACCTTCCGCCCGCCCTATAGTACAATGACGGGCTCAAGGTGGTTCTCTCGTTCTGATAGGACGTCATATGACGTCCTACCATTCTCACTGCGCATGCGCGACTCAGGGAGCGAGCAGCGCGGCGATTGCCGGTGCGCTGTGTCCCTCGGACACGGAAAGAGCCGAAGATGTCGGCTCAGTCATGTGATCAGTTGTGTCCAATCACAGCTGATCACATGTAAACACGGAAATGCCGGTTATTGGCATTTCTCTCCTCTCAAGCTGTCACGCTGACAGCTCGAGAGGAGAGGAGAGCCGGTAATCGGCTTTCCGTGGAGGGGACATGTACACTGATCATCAGGGCACTGATGATCAGTGTGCCCTGGTGATCAGTGTGGCCCCATAAGTGCCACCTGTCAGTGCCCATCAGTGCCACGTGCCAGTGCCCATCAGTTCCACGTGCCAGTGCCCATCAGTGCCACATCAATGCCACATATCAGTGCATACCAGTGCACATCAATGCCACATATCAGTGCCCATCTGAGCTGCTTTTCAATGTCACCCATCAGTGCCAGTCAGTGCCACCTATCAATGCCAATTAGTGCCACCTATCAGTGCCAGTCAGTGTCGCATATCAGTGCGCATCAGTGCCAGTCAGTGCCACCTATCAGTGCCAGTCAGTGCTGCCTATCAGTGCCGCCTATCAGTGCCATATATCAGTGTCATGTATCAGTGCTGCCTTTCAGTGCCCATCAGTGATGCCTGTCAATGCCCATCAGTGCAACCTACCAGTGCCTCCTCATCAGTGCCCATCAGTGCCACCTATCAGTGTCCATCAGTGCAGCCTATCAGTGCCCATCACTGCAGTCTCATTAGCGCACATCGGTGAAGGAGAAAAATTACTTATTTACAAAATTGTATAACAAAAACTAAGAAAAAACTTTTTTTTCCCCAAAATTTTCTAAGAAAAAATAAAAATCCCAGAGGTGATTAAATACCACCAAAAGAAAGCTCTATCTGTCTCAAAAAAATGATAAAAATTTAATATGGGCACAGTGTTGCATGACCACGCAATTGTCATTCAAAGTGTGACAGCTCTGAAAGCTGGAAATTGGCCTGGGCATGAAGGGGGTATAAGTGCCCTGTAGGCAAGTGGTTAAATACCACCAAAATAAAGCTCTATCTGTCTCAAAAAAAATGGTCAACATTTCATAGGTGTCCAGTGTTGCATGTCCCCTCAAAAGTCATTCAAAGTGCGATAGAACGGAAAGCTAAACATTGGCCTGGGCAGCAAGGGGGTAAAAGTGCCCAGTAGACAAGTGGTTAAAATCCAAATGAAGAGGGGCTGAATGTAAACAATGCAATGTTTGCCTTCCTTGACCCAAGCCTGTGCTGGCAGCCTCAAAGCACCAGTAAAGAAAGGGCAGAAGTAAGAGGTTTTATATGCAATTTTGATGGGCATCCTTGGAAATTATAAACCAATGTGTAGTGCCACGCTGCTCAAAAATGCTACACATAACATGCATATAAGTCCAAAGAAACGTGTAAAAAACTCAACAATAAAAGTCCAAAAGGAGGATACAGTGACCATACAGTATATGAAGGGCGGATTATCCATAGAGGAGAGGCCACTATTTCACCCCTATTAGAAAGGGAAATGCCTGGTTGACCTGTTTTCTGTATGGGTCCATACATGAAGGTGAGGGTCCACCTATTTCATATGGTCACCGTGGTGATGCACACCATTTAAAGATTTACAGCACCGGGATTGTGGGCTTACTCTCCAGTAGGAATACGTTCTTCCCACCTACATTGTTGAATAGTTTTTCCTTCTTTTTTTCTTTTGGACTTTTATTTTTGAGTTTTTTATATGTTTCTTTGGACTTATATGCATGTTATGTTTAGTGTTTTTGAGCAGCGCAGCACTACACATTGGTTCATTATTTCACATGTGATGAACACACACTTTATGTGTTTGCAGCAGCTCGTATTCACAATTGTTTAGTCATTTATTTAATTATTTGGCAGCACACAATTATTTATCACTTATACATCCTTGGATATATTATATGTTTTCAAAGTACAGTTATTCTTTAACTAATTTAAAGCTTTACATACAGTGCATCCAGAAAGTATTCACAGCGCTTAACTTTTGCCACATTTGGTTATGTTACAGCCTTATTCCAAAATGGACTAAATTCATTTATTTCCACAACATTTTACAAACAATCAGGGCTTTTTTTCTCAGAGGAAAGGTGGTGGAACTCCCCCACCCAAAACGCCCCCATCAAACCCTAGGACCACCCCTTTAGAGAACAGGAATGCAAGTAAAATTTGGGAGGGGCTATAAAAGTAAATGTATGGAATTAACACCGCCCCCCCCCCCCCCACATTAGTAAGAATAGCGATAACACTGCCCCCCCCCACATTAGCAAGAAAAGCGAAAAAATTGTATCCCCGCTCCTTACCTGATGCTGACGATCCGCGCTATGGTAGGATCGACGAGCAGAGGGCGTGATGACGTCAGCGCGCAACTAAGTTTTCCTATGGGGGTTGAACACGCTGGCGTTTGCATGCCCCGCTCACCGGCTGTGATTCACGCGCAAGCATGACATGCCGCGTCCGGCAAATAACAACTGCTCTGAATAAAAGGCAGTCGGTGAGCGGGGACAAGAAGAAAAAGGTGGCGGACATAAGAAAGAAAGCCCTGCAAACAATACCCTTTAATGACACGTGAAAGCCTTTTGCCAATTCATTGAAAATAACAACTCACATACATTGAGCACAGCCTTTGCCATGACACTGAGTCTGCATCCTGTTCACACTGATCATCCTTCAGATGTTTTCACAACTTGATTGGAATCCACCTGTGGGAATTTCAGTTGCTTGGACATGATTAGGAAAGACATAAACCTGTCTATATAAGGTCCCACAGTTAACAGTGCACGTCAGAGCACAAACCAAGCCATAAAGTCCAAGGAATTGTCCGTAGACAAGATTGTATCAAGGCACAAACCTGTGGAAGGGTACAGAAAAATTTCTGCAGCATTGAAGGTCCCATTGAGCACAGTGGCTTCCATGATCTGTAAATGAAAGAAGTTTGGAACAACCAGGAATCTTCCTAAAGCGGCCACCCGTCCAAAATGAGTGATCAAAGGAGAAGGCCTTAGCCAGGGAGGTAACCAAGCACCTGATGGTCACTCTGAGAGAGCTCCAGCGTTTCTCTGTAGAGAGAGGAGAACCTTCCAGAATAACCATCTCTGCAGCATTCCACCAATTAGGCCTGTATGGTAGAGTGGCCAGATGGAACTCACTCCTCAGTAAAAGGCAAATGTCAGGCTTGCCAAAAGGCATCTTAGAGACTCAGACCATGAGAAACAAAACTCTCTGGTCTGATGAAACATAGATTGAACTCTTTGGCCTGAATGCCAAGCATCATGCCTGGAGGAAACCAGGCACCACTCACCACCTGGCCAATACCATCCCTACAGTAAAGCATGGTGGTGGCAGCATCATGCTGTGGGGATGTTTTTTCAGTGTCAGGAACTGGGAGACTAGTCAGGATTGAAGGAAAGATGAATGCAGTAATGCACAGAGACATCCTTGATGAAAACCTGTTCCAGAGTGCTCTGGACCTTAGACTGGGGTGATGGTTCATCTTTCAACAGGACACGAACCATAAACACACAGCCCACATAACAAAGGAGTGGCTACGGGCCAACTCTGTGAATGTTCTGGAGTGGCCCAGCAGAGCCCAGACTAGAACCCAATTGAACATCTCTGGAGAGATCTGAAAATGACTGTGCACCAATACTCCCCATCCAACCTGATAGAGCTTGAGAGGTACTGCAAAGAAGAATGGGAGAAATTGCCCAAAAATAGGTGTGCCAAGCTTGTAGCATCCTACTCAAAACGACTTGAGTCTGTAATTGGTACTAAAGGTGCTTTAACAAAGTACTGAGCAAAGGCTGTGAATACTTATGTACATGTGTTTTTTTTTCGTTTTATATTTTTAATAAATTGCAGAGATTTCAAAACGAACTTCTTTCACGTTGTCATTATGGGGCATTGTTTGTAGAATGCTGAGGGAAAAAAAAATGAATTTAATCCATTTTGGAAAAAGGCTGTAACATAACAAAATGTGGCAAAATTTAAGCGTTGTGAATACTTTCTGGATGCACTGTAGATGCCTATACATGAATTTTACAAGTGTAATTATCAACATGTGTCTGTGTCATTAAACATTTGTATAATTATCTGTGATCCCATCAGCTTGGATCATTGACTTGCCAACGCTTTAAAACACTTTTGGACGTCCAGTATGACACACCATATAATTTTTGTCAACAATGTGACTCACACATATGTTCATTAAGCTTTCATTCTTTTGCTAAGTAGAGTTTCATTTCTCGCTCTCTTTATAAAACCAGTATAATCATATGCCAAGTGTGTCATATATACCTGGCAAAGTTTATACTTATTTAGAATAATCCATGCCATCTTTCCGAATGCCTTGCTGGTTTTATATTCTCACTTTTATAGATGTCATCTTCTGTTTATTTTGAAATATCACAACTGAATCTCCTAAAGCTGTTTATTAATTGCACTATTTGTCAAACAAGGAAAATTGGAATCTGTTTTTCAATCTGGCAAAGTGTAGTATTGATGCAAGAATATTCAAAGTATCATAATTACCAAGCATAATTATAATTATTTTATTAACCACTTGGTGACAATGCACTGAAGTTTTACTGCTACAGTATGGGCTGGTTGTGCAGAATCATGTACATGATTTTGCATTTCCGGGTAGGGGCTGCATGCTCCTGTCCACTTGGCTGCATGGTCACTGGCTCCAGCACATGCTGATCACTGGGTCCCGGCCAGTGATTTATGGCCGGGACTCACTGATCGGTGGAGCGAGAGACAGGAGAGAGCTCTGTGTATGTAAATAACACAGAGCTCTTTACTGACAACGACAATGTGCTGGTTTATATTTCCCTGCAAATCAGGGAATAAAATCAACACATCACCACACAGTAAAAACTTTCCACATATTTAGGCACACAGTTAACCCTTTGATTGCCCCAGATGTTAACCCCTTCCAAACCAGTGTCATTAGTACAGTGTTAGTGTATATTATTAGCACTGTATTAGTGTCACTGGTGATGTCAGTGTCAGTTCCTGCCAGCATCATTTAGTGTAAGATTGCCCTTTGTACTATCACAGTCCCTCTATAAGTCACTGTTCACTGCCATTACTAGTGTAAAAAAGTAAATACAATTGTAGTATATATCCCATAGTTTGTAGACGCTATAACTTTCACGCAAACCAATTAATAAATGCTATATGTAGCAGAATACATTTTGGTCTAAATTTATGAAGAAATTTGATTTTTAAATGTTATATTGGATATGTTTTATAGAGATGAGCGAATCGAACATGACGAAGTGGAATTCGTTCCGAAGATTTGGAAAAATTCTATTCGCGACGAATCCGAAGATTAGCAAACTTCGGATGCACGAATCGAGTTTTCCCAAAAATGGCGGCGACATGTGTGGCCACGGAGAAAATGGACAGAGAAGATGGGGGGGGCGGGGATCTCTGGAAGGCGCGCAGACAAGGCGTG